TGTGTCTGTGTGTGTCTCAGTCTGAGTGTGTGTCTGAGTGTGTGTCAGTGTGTCTCTGTGTGTGTCTGTGTGTGTGTCTGAGTGTCTCTGTGTGTCTGTGTGTGTCTCAGTCTGTGAGTGCGTCTGAGTGTGTGTCTGTGTGTCTCTGTGAGTGTGTCTGTGTGTGTCTCAGTCTGAGTGTCTCTGTGTGTGTGTCTCAGTCTGTGAGTATCTGAGTGTGTGTCAGTGTGTCTCTGTGAGTGTGTCTGTGTGTGTGTCTGTGAGTTTGTCTCTAGTGAGTGAGTGTGTGTCTGAGTGTGTCTCTCTCTATCTGTGACTGTGCGGCCAAGGGGCTGCGGGGTTGCTCTCTCCCTTCCGACACTGAGGGACCGGGGTGGGATACAGCGGGGTCTCCCCCAGACAGAACCCAAGGAGCTTTCTATCCTCACTCACCTACACCCTTTAACCAGCCCCCAGCGCACACACAGACGCGTGAATAGGCTTTTAGTTCTTATTCCATCACCTCTCGTACAGAAACAAAGCAGTCAGCATTCTAAATCCCCAGCTTCCCCCTCTGCCCTCCCCTTGGTTTGAAAATGAATTTACCTTCCTCCGGGGGTGAGTTTGGAAATAAATCAGGAATGGGTCTTCGGGTCGAGCTGGTTAATCCGCGGAAGTTCTCAGAGTAAAAGGGGAGCGGAGCTGCTGCATGTACCGGCCTGGAACCACCACTTGACCAGACTCAATGTCGTTTGGGTAAAATTACGTCTCCCCCGTAGCAAGTTTCCATAAAAGTCCCGTTCGCTCACCGTCTACCGCATTCCAGGCGATCCGGGGCATGGTTCTTCCAGCTGTCGCTTGGAATATATTTGCTAGCACATGGTTCCTCACTTACTCAACTTCCTACCATCCCCTCCCTGCAACGGTGCCACCAAACCCAGCTAAGATTACTGCTCAGGGGAGGAGAAATTCAGAAATCCAATGGAATCACACCACCCTCCCCTTTCAAACTCACGATTGCAAAGAATCTGCATTTGTGTGGTGTCCTTCAGAGCAACCTTACAACAAATTCAAGATTTCTCGGCTGTAGTCACTGTTGTAGTGAGGTCACCATGAACCTCCTACCTCCTGGACCTCTCCCCTCCCCTGAGGTGTGGTGACCCTCAGGCTAAACCATCATCAGTCACCTGTCTCCAGTAACAGTTGTAGGAAGGATATTATTAAGCTGGAGAGGGTTCAGAAGAGGTTTGCCAGGATGTTGCCAGGTGTGGAGGGTTTGAGTTATAAAGAAAGGCTGGATAAGCTGGGACTTTTTTCATTGGAGTGCAAGAGGTTGAAAGCTGACGTGATAAAAATTTATAAAATAATGAGGGTTATAGATAGAGGTAATGGTAGGTGTTTATTCCCTAGGAGGGGGGATTTCAAGACTGGGGTAACATTTTTAAGGTGAGAGGAGACAGATTTTAAAAACACACGAGGGGCAAATTTTTTTTACACACAGGGTGTTTCACCTGAGGAAGTGGTGGATGTGGGTACAATTATAATGTTTAAAAGACATTTGGATAAGTACATGGATAGGAAAGTTTTGGAGGGATATGGGCCAAGAACAGACAGGTAGGACTAATTTGGTTTGGGATTATGGTCGGCATGGACTGGTTGGACCGAAGGGTCTGTTTCTGTGCTATGTACGCACCATGTATGACTGTGTGACTCTATGACTCTTTATAACTGACCAGGAAGCTCTCTTGCTCTCGCCGACTGCCCTCAGTATGTGTCGGAAGTATTTCCAGGTTGACACTCAACCTGTTTGTCCGTCTGACTGTCAAGTTTTTTGGGTGTAACTCTAACCTGGAGCATCTGGCTCAGAGACAGTTTCCTTCCCTAAAAGGGCATTAGTGAACCAGATGGGTTTTTCCAACACTCAACAACGGATTTGTGATCATCATTAGGCTCTTAATTCCAGATTTTTTTTCAATTGAATTCAAATTTCACCAGCTGCCATGGCAGGATTCAAACCCGGGTCCCCAGAACATTACCTGGTTCTCAGGATTAACAATCCAGCGTAAAGTAAGAGGTAGAAGTGGGAGGAGGTGATGGCCCAGTGGTATACCTAGTGATATTACCCAATACCTAGTGGTAATAACGCTAGGCCATCACCTCCTCCCATTTCTACCTCTTATGTTCGTACATAAGTTTACCTTTACCTTTGGGGCAAGTTAGCGGGATGGCTCATTTCGAACAAAGAACAAAGAAAATACAGTGCAGGAATGGGCCCTTCGGCCCTCCAAGACTGCACTGACATGCTGCCTGTCACAACTAAAACCCCCTACCCTTCCGGGGACCGTATTCCTCTATTCCCATTCTATTCATATATTTGTCATGATGCCCTTTAAAAGTCACTATAGCTTCCACTACCTCCCCAGCAGCGAGTTCCAGGCACCCACCACCCTCTGTGTAAAAAACTTGCCTCGTACATCACCTTTAAACCTTGCCCCTCACATCTTAAACCCATGGCCTCTGGTAACTGACTCTTCAACCTGGGAAAAACCTTCTGACTGTCCAGTCTGTCCACGCTCTTCATAATCTTGTAGACCTCTATCAGGTCCCCCCTCAACCTCCGTCGTTCCAGTGAGAACAACCCAAGTTTCTCCACCCTCTCCTCATAGCTAATGCCCTCTGTACCAGGCAACATCCTGGTAAATCTTTTCTGTACCCTCTCCAAAGCCACCACATCCTTCTGGTAGTGTAGCGATGTAGAGTGTCAATGTAGAGTAACACCAACAGCACAGGTTCAATTCCTGCTATTGATTGAGGTTAGCTTCCCTCCCCTTCCTTGA